TCTTCCTGCCCCCCACCCTCCCCAGGCTTCCCACTGTAGTTTGACAGTCTGTTCAATGCTGCTCTGCCTCTGTATCTATTTTTGTTCATCAGGTTATAATGGTCTTTATTATCCATAAATGAGTGAGATCATGTGGTGTTTTTCTTTCACTGACTGGAAATGATCCCTGAACGTATAGTCTTTACTTTTAATTTTTAAAATATGTTTTTATTTATTTCAGAGAGGAAGGGAGAGATAGAAACATTCACGATGAGAGAGAATCATTGATTGGCTGCCTCCTGCACGCCCCCCACTGGGGATGGAGCCCACAACCCAGGCATGTGCCCTGACTGGGAATCAAACCCAAGACCCTTCAGTCCGCAGGCGACGCTCTGTCCACTGAGCCACACCAGCCAGGGCTTCCTGTGTTTTTTGACGAGGCAAACTGGCTGCAGGGGACTGAGCTACCCCAGAGGGCGGGTGTGGAGCCAGGCTCTGGCCAGCACCGAAGCGACACCGCACAGGCCCAACGGGAAAGCCCGCCTGTGCCCGCCTGGCTGCACTTTTCTCCCTCCGTCAATCCCAGCACCACCACCCCTTCCACAGGTGAGCCGGCAGTCCTTCCCCACGCCCCGGGAGGCTCCGGAGAGAGAGGGAGACCTGCTTTGGTCCCTCTTCACCTAATCTAAGATGGAGAGCTCTAGTTCTGGGTTTGTGGGGAAATAAGAGCACTGCCCACCCCTTGCTTTTTGGGGTCCCCTGAATTTTGAAGTGTGTGCATGTCACCAGCACTCTCTGCCGTGTTGTCAGGCGTGACTGTCCATGTTAACTTCACTCAGCGGCACACCTGATGGCTCTTGCTCCAGCTTCTGAGGAGCCCGCCTGTTCCCAGGATGGCAAGTGCGAGGAAGGCTGATCCAGCGCCTTCCCTGCTGTGCCAGGCCGTGCCGTGCCAGTGCCCCTGCGGCGTGGTCGGTGGGCAGTCAGTGCGGTTGGCTACTTGGCTGGTTTCCATCCGTGCGGGTGCTGCTGCCTGGCTTAGGCCTGAGGTCACACCACTCAGCGTTGCTGAGTGAGAACGCAGATACCGCACAAGCACCCTTTTACCATTTACTTATTTATTTTAGAAGAGCAAGCAAGAGCTTACCGCCGCAGCAAAAACACACTCCGGTCAGTGAGGCAGGGAAGGGCCTAAGAAGCACAGGAGGCCCAGGCGGGGCTGCTCGGCTCACTGGGAAGCCAGAGGAAAGGGGGCCTTGGGGACAGGCTCAGGGGTGAGCTGGACGAGCTGCCGCCCGCTGCTCCTGGGGCGAGTCCTGTGGGGTGTTGGGGTTTAGGACGTGCGCGCCTGTGGGGGAGGGGGGACGGCATGAGCGAGCTCCTGGGGGGAGAGCTCACCCTTAAAGCACACACTTAGGGGTTTCAGTTTATCCACAGAGATGTGCCGTCACACGGTTCATGTGGGAACATTGCCGCCACCGGGACGCAGCTGCGCATCCCCAGCCCCCCCGCCCCCCCTCCCCCG